TCGATTTGCTAGGTTTGGAATAGATCAGTTGCCCTAAAGACCATCATTGAAAGGGACATGCCAGTGCAACATAGCACGCGTGGGAAAGGGAGGACAGGGATGCCCTTTCCTCTCCAAGCCTGTATCTGTCTGCTGCACATGAAACCTTTGTTTTTCCTTACAATAGTTACCATCCTTAAAAGCTGGATTGAAGCTAGACCTTAAAATCATTGAGCTGAAGATTCCTAATCTCCACAGAGACCCCCAGCTTCAAATAAAGCACAGCTGCAGAAGAGCTGTCGTATTACGACCTGTCAGGGAAAACAAATTTGGTCAGATTCTCTGATACACATGGGCTGTCCCTTGGATTAACACGAATGCAGAGGACCTGCAGCTGTACTTGCCGTAGTAACTGTCTCAGCTTTTCTACTTGTTCCGTTTAATATTTTTTTCCACTCAGTTTATATTACTTGTGTGAATAGCACGAGGCCATCCCTCGCAAGCAAATCCTGCCTACTTAACAAATGGCTCTTAATCCTTGATGTGGCCACCCCCCAGCTCTATCTTCCACAAAAAGCACGATTAAAGTGCTGCTTCTCACCAGTCACTTCCCAACAGAAGATAAGAGGCTGCAAAAACATAAATGTTTCTCATGCCCATATGTTCATGTCTTTCCCTTCTGCTTTAACCAAGAGCTTTGCATGGCTGAAAGCAGAGGCGCGCCACCATCACGTCCAAGAGTCCCAGCAGCAGCAATGGAGTGAAGGGAAGTGTTCACCTCCATTATAGTATTAAAGTAGAGGTTACTGCCAAAAGCAAAAGGCCGATTTTATTGAGTTTTCAGCTAAATGACTATAAATAAGGCATGCACACTTAAAATAATTTTTAAAGTTTTCTAAAATTTCACTCCTCTGTTGGGAGCCTTGTTTTTGTTCACTGCCAGGACAATGTTTGCAGTCCCCCTCATACCTGCATGTCCCTCACATGTAGAGAGACGAGTGAGACCAATTGGTAATCCACACCAGACCCATAAAAATTTAGTAAATCCTCCCACTTGGTATAAATGAAGTCGCAGACAACCTGTGTTCATCCAACTGCTTGTTACTCATCTTGCTCCCCCCCCAAGCCCAACCCAAGGGTGTCAGGTGCCATACACATATGGCAAGCCCCTGCCCTGCCAAAACACGCGCTGGCAGAAGAGGCAAGACAAATAAAGAACATGCAAAAAGCAAAAGAACCAGCATCAACCAAGTGATGAACTACAAACACTGCCAATTTCAACATTGTCAGAGGTGTTCTCTTGTTTTCCTTTTTCCTTTGAGACAGCAGAGAACAATGCGACTAAAAGCAACGTAAAATTAAGACTCAGAAGGAAAAGCAGCATTGAAAAGAATCTGCTCTGCATGAGAAGACAAGATCTTTTGAAACCCATCCACAACAGGCCCTCCCAAAAATTACCTGCACTGATTTGCTTTGCAAGAAATATTGAAATTAACAGCACATTACAGCATCTCATTTCTCAATTGCCAGAAATGAGTTACAAACCATTCAGATCAAATACTCCCTTCCCACAGGGAGCTACAGAAAGTATGCCGTGTTCAAAGAGAAACCGCACAGCATTTGCATGCAGCACACAAAACTACTCAGAGGGGACATACACATTTTGTTTTTGCTTTTATAAACTTTGATTGCTTTGAAAAAGATCTTGCATAAGCATATAACAAATTGTAAGTGCCACGTACTCAGTGAGGTATCGTAGGAAACACCAGGACTGTGACAATGGACCAAAACTTAAGGATGGGATGGGCAGATGTTTTCCCACCTTTATGATTCTTTAATCTGATCCTGAAATCTCAAAGCATCCATCGAATTCCCGTTGTGGACTTTCCACAAACAACCCTGTCACCATGCACACCACATACTACTTAACAAATGTGACCCTTGTTTTGCATGGAAGACATGGACTTCCCTCGTCAGGGGACTGAAGTTCCAGATGTACATTAAAGTGCTGTATAAATGGGATGTTTATTAACCATTCTTATATTTAACTCAGCAACATCATCTCTCTAAATCACTTAGCTTCACGCTGAATTATTTTGGAGCTTGTTTTGTTGAGTATTAACCTGTCCTGAAACCAGGACAAAATTATTTTTGGTAGAGGATGGAGAGAAATTTGGAGTGTCTGGAGAAAATATTAAAAGCAATTCAAGAGACCTCACCCAGCAAGAGATAATCTTGCTATCAAAAAAATGTGATGTGTTAGTCACACCGGCATATATTGCCCTCATTAAGTTTCAAAGTTAACACAGTATGGGGACAAATGGAAACAATCACATTACTCAGGATTGTAATTCCAGTTTCTGTAACCTTGTCAAGATCAAGGGGAGCTCAAAATTAACAACAGGTACACCTGAGACAGTTCAGCGTTACTGTGAAGAAAAAGAAAAATCAGTCCATGCGTACTGTATCTTCATCACCTCAGCTGCAGCACCCATCTGCATCCGCTGGCAAGACTTCAGAGTAATTTTAACATGCTGTTGATTAACCCTACCATCTTTACAATGAAGTTTAAGGCAGAGTAATACATATGATAAAAAGAACCTGCGAATTATTTAGTTAAAAAAAAGGCAGATGCTGCAGCAAATCCCTCAGCACTGCAGGGCATGTGGGGCCTTGATCACAGCCTGCGATGAGAAACAGGCACAGATAGTGCACTTGGGTATGTGTGGGCAGACCCCTACGGAACGTCTCCAAGATTCTGCCAGAAACCTGCCCACACAGACCTGACTGCATGAAAGAGCACTTAAAATACTAATTTTCACTTTACTACTAAAGATATGATTAGTTGAAAGGCTCTGGTTAGCTGTCAAAAAATAGCTACTTTTTCTTAGAAATTGTCACGATCCTTTGTGCACAGTTCATAAAGAATCCTAGTGCACCTCATCAGCAGTATGGCATTAGCTGCATCAAACTGAACTACAGGTAAAAATTATTTGTGCTACTCATGCTAAATAATGAGCAGATTTTTTAAACCACCACCACACTGCTAAATATCTGCTGTAATTCCTTTCAAAACTCCCCCCCCCCAGTAATTGCCAGTTCACAGAACAGGTTCCACTACTATGGAGGATTAAGAAAAAAGTATTCACACCTGTGCCCATCTCCATAAGCTCATGTCAACATGTTTCTGATGAGCAGCATTCCCATGCAAATAACAATGTGTAAAGGAACAAAAAAATAAATCCACGTAGCAAAGGCCCATTTGCTCAAGAGCAAGAAAAAACAAATGCATCACTTATGGAGAGAAGCAGAGAATAAATATACTCCGTGTCCCTCCGTGATGAAACCCAAAACCGCACTTCATCTGGAACAGAACATCTCCTGCGTGTTCCCTGCACAGCCCACTAAAACGATTCCAGGATTTGTGATTGTTTCCTGCCCTTTTTTTTTTTTTTTGGGGGGGGGAATTTTAAAGTGCCGTAATTATTAAAAATACAAGGGGGCTGAGAGCCCGAGGAACACCACCACCAGGACTGCAGCATTGTCTTGACAGATACACACACACACGCACCCTCTCCTCTCTGCAATCTGCCTCCTCTTGACAAGCCATGCTTTTAATTAAATGTCTCCTAAGATCTGTTGAGAGGGAAATGCATATGAACCCTTGCCAAAAAATAGCTTCTAGTGCAAACAGCTTCTCCACCCCCCAAAAAATACACTAGAAGCCATTCACCTCTGCCAGGCTCCTTCCTAGAGCAGACCCCGTCCTCCTCCTCCACCACTACTTGGTGGCTCTTTCTCCCGCAGCCCTCCCTGCTCACCAGCCCTTGCACTGATTAAAACACCTAAAGAAATCCCGCGCCCCTGGATGGGAGAAGCACAGCACACACCGCCGCTGCCTTTAAATCCTGTGGCCCCCCCATTATCTGACATGTCCCTCAGTATCTCCCGACAACTGCATCCTTCCCAGCCGGCCCTGGGAGGAAGACAAGCTGCCCTTGTCCAGGGGAACACTGCAGTATTCTGCAGTACGGCCGCACGCTGGAGGCAGGGCACCCCGAGCCCTGGGGTTTGGGGGAGGCACGACTGGCAGAAGGCAGCAACGCTTTTACGCTATTTATTTCCACGAGCGAAGGGCAGGAGGCATCCGCTCGCCCAGATAAAAACCTGCAGAAGTGCCCTTGGCTGCCAAGGATAGATGGGGAGCGCCTCTCTCAAAGGGACGCTTTGGCAGAAGGGGTGGGCACAGCCCGAGATTTCTGGTGGCTGGTAGAGAGGAGACACCCGGCAACTTGAGACCTTTGCATTCATCCTCAGAAAGCAGCAAATACCACCTCCACGAGCATGAAAATAATACCACATAACCGACTGAGCAGCAATTTTAATCCAGGCACGCATCAACTTCTGAGCATCTCCAGGCTGAGATTTTTTTTTTTCCATCGTGCCCACCAGCATGGCACCGAAATCCCTACATTTGCCCTTTCCAGCCCCACCCCACGGCTGACATGCACCGTGCCCATCTCCTCCACACGATGCTCCTGTCTCGCTGCATTTATTCTGCTAGCGATCTGACAGCCCAAAACAGCAAAAAAAAAAAAAAGGTGGAAGACGAGGGGGAAAAAAAAAAAGGATTAAAAAAAGAGACAGGTTTGGAAAACGCTGACCCTGGTGCAAGATAACAGCTTGCGTGTTTGAGCAGGAGAGGCAAAGGGGGAAGGAGGGAGGGAGGGAGAGGCGATGTCCTGGAAGCAACTCGCAAGCCCCAAACCACGGGGGGCGAAGCGTGTACGTGGGGCCCCCTTCGCCAGGCTGCCTCCACCGCCGGGGGACCCGCACCCGGCATTTGGGGCAGGGTCCCCCCGCAGCAGCAGCCCAAGGCCCCGGGGTGGGGTGGGAGGTCGCGCCGCCCCCACCGCCCCCCGCGACGCGGCTGCACCTCACGGGGCGAAGTTTGGCGGGGCCAGGTGGGGAGGGGAAGGTTTCCTCTCACCTGGGCCCCCCCGCAGCCTTCAGCCTCTTACCTTCATGTCGCTTATGATGGTCTGGAAGAGCCCTCCGAGCGCACTACATTCCTTCTCTATCACAGCCTCCATTTTCCTCGCTCGAGCACACCGGAGGAGGCAGAAACTGCTGCAATTTCACTACTAAGCTAATGAAAAAATGAGACACCACGGTGTCCCACCTCACGCAAAAAAAAAAAAACTCTTTAA